TTAATCCTGTTCAGTTTTTGTGATAGCCAATTTGGAAATAAATATCTGAAAGGAATTTCCCTCAGTTTTATTGATGTAGTATGAATACATAGTTTGAGAGAAAAGAGAGAGAGAGAGAAAAGAGAAGAGAGAGAGAGAGAGAGAGAAAAAAGAGAAAGAGAGAGAAAAGAGAAAGAGAGAGAGAGAGAGAGAGAAAAGAGAAAGAGAGAGAAAAGAAAGAGAGAGAGAAAAGAGAGAGAGAGAGAGAAAAGAGAAAGAGAGAAAAGAGAAAGAGAGAGAAAAGAGAAAGAGAGAAAAGAGAAAAAAGAGAAAAGAGAAAGAGAGAAAAAGAAAAGAGAGAGAGAGAGAGAAGAGAGAAAGAGAGAGAGAAAAGAGAAAGAGAGAGAGAGAAAAGAGAGAGAGAGAGAAAAGAGAGAGAGAGAGAGAAAAGAGAAAGAGAGAGAGAGAAAGAGAGAAAAAGAGAAAGAAAGAGAAAAAGGAGAGAAGAGAGAAAGAAAAGAGAGAAAAGAGAGAGAGAAAAAAGAAAAAAGAAATAGAAACAGAAAGAGAGAGAGAAAGAGAAGATAGAAAGAAAACAGGCAGAAAAAGAAAGAGAAAAAGGGACAGAAAGCAGATTAAAAAGAAAAAAGAGAAAAAGGAAAAAAGAAAAAGAAAAACAGATAAAGAGAAAGAAAAAGAACAAAAAGAAAAGGCAAAGATTAAATATTCTGTTCAAAGCTCCCAAAATATTACTATACACAACATGCACCTGAGGAAGGCCAAAGAAACGACCAGCTGAAATGCTGTGGTGAGAATAACAAAGATAAGGAAAATAGTCCAAATGATGTGTCAAATTGTATATTATTCCACAACTTCCTAGTAATGAATTGAACTCATTATTTATTCTCTTTCAGATTTTGTATGCACAGACCACGTGTTGGGTGTGGCTTTGTCAAATGTGACACAGCCACTGTCTTTGTGTACAGTTATGTCAGTCGGTACACTACATTATTTTCAATTTTCTACTTTCAGTTGAGGAAATGTTGATAATGTTCATTTTTGGGGGTGTGGAGAGTGATATTCCCTTATTGTTTAGCAAACCAGACATGAAGAAAATGGGGTTTACGCTAAACATGGAGAATGACAATTTGAGAGTGAATTGTGAAGCCTCTTTGGGGGTGCCTCATTCAGGGTCAGCTTGGTGATGAAAAAAAAAAAAGATTCTTAAAAGCTTCTCAAAGTATTACAACCGTTTCGGCACCACTCCCCCCTATGGCTTTTATTCTTGTCGTACTTACCTGAAACTGGTAGCAGAACATAGTTATGACTGATGAAAGGAAGGATGACAAGTTTCTGGCCCCAGCACCCTTGGAGGATTGAAGAGTTTTCATTCTGCATTGCATTTAATTGGTAAGAAGGGCATTTCATTTGGATAGCTCCTCCCCAAGAGCCACTGCTTTCAGGGATAGGGGCTTGAGAGCATGTTTTTCTTCTCACCTTAACCTTATCTCAGGTTTCATCTTAACCTCTTCAATTCTGGGGTCAGTCATTATCTATCCTATATATCCTCATAATTTGCATTTCTTAACCTCTTCTATTGTATCGATAAAACAATCTCATTCAGTAATAATACTGGGCTAAGTTTCCGATAGAGCTGATCATTGGTTAGACGATCTCTCCAAATAACACCCAAAGCCATTCTTAGCATGTGAATGTAGGCTCAATCCAATCTTCTTTCCAGTTTCGAGCTTAGGGTCAATGCTAATCAGCCATACAATAGAACAGGGGTAACAGTTGCTTAAAAGACTCCTTTTCATGTTGTCTGGAAGTCTATAGGTGACCACTTGGGAATAGCAGTCGGTATAATGGATAATGGCTCGGATTGAGAAACTGGAGACCTGAGTTCAAATTCCAGTTGAGTACAATACATTCACATATACACACACATATCCTTGTAAAAATTATGAATCCATATCTTCTCCCTCTGAATATGGGTCAAACAGCAGGAGAGGCTGGGTCCTATAGCTTAGTTTGGTAACCAGTCTACCACAGAAAGTAACAGCAGTCTACTGTGGGAATTCGTCTGCCAAGTCAGTCATGAAACAAAAAGAGACACAATTGCCCAAGTGTGTTACATCCATCCCAACTAACACACATCAGGCCAGTGCAGTATGGTAGCGGCTCGTTCCTCCCTACAACTGGCAAAGATGAAGAGATCTGGGGAAAGCCTACATCTAATAAAGACCTTCACAGATTGAGATGGACAATACTTTTTGCTATGTTTTTTTTTTTTTAATCGTTTCCCTACAAGCAAGGCAATAAAGCCACTAAGACACAAAGGGATTAATGTGCATAAAAGAATCTGAGAAAAATCTTGATTAAAGTTTTATAATGCTTTTATCTATTGGGCCATGTGTCCTTGAAGACATTAGTGTATGAATTTTTTCCAATCACCCGAAGAAGGCAGGAGCCTTTTCCGATCAACTGAAGAAGGCTGGAGCTTTTTCCAATCAACTGAAGAAGGCCGGAGCCTTTTCCAATTCAACTGAAGAAGGCCAGAGCCTTTTCCAATTCAACTGAAGAAGGTCAGAGCCTTTTCCAATTCAACTGGAGAAGGTAAGAGCCTTTTCCCATTCAACTAAAGAAAGTCAGAGCCTTTTCCCATTCAACTAAAGAAAGTCAGAGCCTTTTCCCACTCAACTAAAGAAGGTCAGAGCCTTTTCCAATTCAACTAAAGAAGGTCAGAGCCTTTTCCAATTCAACTGAAGAAGGTCAGAGCCTTTTCCAATTCAACTGAAGAAGGTCAGAGCCTTTTCCAATTCAACTGAAGAAGGTCAGAGCCTTCTCCAATTCAACTGAAGAAGGTAAGAGCCTTTTCCAATTCAACTGGGGAAGGTAAGAGCCTTTTCCAATTCAACTTAAGAAGGTAAGAGCCTTTTCCAATTCAACTAAAGAAAGTCAGAGCCTTTTCCCATTCAACTAAAGAAAGTCAGAGCCTTTTCCAATTCAACTAAAGAAAGTCAGAGCCTTTTCCAATTCAACTGAAGAAGGTCAGAGCATTTTCCAATTCAACTGAAGAAGGTCAGAGCATTTTCCAATTCAACTGAAGAAGGTCGAAGCCTTTTCCAATTCAACTGAAGAATGTCGAAGCCTTTTCCAATTCAACTGAAGAATGTCGAAGCCTTTTCCAATTCAACTGAAGAATGTCAAAGCCTTTTCCAATTCAACTGAAGAATGTTGAAGCCTTTTCCAATTCAACTGAAGAAGGCTGTAGCTTTTTCCAATCAACTGAAAAAGGCTGGAGCCTTTTCCAATCACCTGAAGAAAGCCAGAGCTTTTTCAAATCTTCTGAATGGCCAAAAAGTTAAGAATATGACAATAAAAAGGACACTAGTTTGACCAATGTAAATAATGTAAATAACTATGGTTATATCTAGAAAATTTTACTTTAAAATGATGAGATACAGTTGCCAATTTAGTACTATGCTTAAATTTGTGAAGTCAAGATACCAACATGAAAATCTCAACAGAACTATTAGAATTAGTATATTTATAAGAAAAAAGGCACAGGGAACCTACGTTACAACAGTGGGGAAGTGACTGAAGCCAAGATACCAGATCAGGACCAATAACGTTGCAGATTCTTTTTTTATCTATTATTTTATCTATTTAATATATTTTTTAAAATCAGATGTCAGAAAATATTTAGACTATTTTTGTCTCAAAGATTGGCAAATGGCAGCACTTAAAACTGAAAAGCAACCGAGAAAGTTGAATTAACAGATATTTTCATTTTGTTATTTTTTAATTTTCCAAAATCTGACTGTGCACAGCATTTAAACCATTTCCTTCTTGAAGATTAATACTATCCCTTTCTAAATGCGAAGCAGCTGAGCGTACTGGAGCTGCCTCAGGTGGACAGATAGACAAACGGATGCTGTTATGAAGATACATAATATGATATTTGAATAGGTTGATAAAGAGGTAATTGGAATCTTTTCAGATATTAATTTTCAAAAGTTGAAAATTGGATTGAATTTCTCTAATATGGAAGACGATACATAAAGTAAAATGAATCAAGTTTAAATACAGTAGATGTGTAGGGATGTCTGAACAGATTGATGGCAGAATCACAATTATAAACATATTCTATACCCAAGGTTTCAAAAGACAAAAAATTATATATATATATATATATATATATATATATATGTGTGTGTGTGTGTGTGGAGAGAAAGAGAGATGTGTATGTGCGTGTATACAGGGTGCAATGGGTAAATTGTTGCCAATTTATTTATTATGTCTGTTAAGATGTGATTTCAGTGTTATTTCCATGTTTGCATAATGCAGACAATTTATGCATCACAACCTATATGTGTTATATATATATGTATTTCAATGTGTGTGTGTGTGTGTGTGTGTGTGTGCATATATATTTATATACAGGTGTGATGGATAAATTATCATTTAAATTGCCATATATATATATATATATATTTTATACATTATTTTCATAGATACAAATATTTAATTAAATGCTCCATTTATAATAAAAAGTATTAACAACATTATTTACTTGCCTGATTGTCCAAGAAATCTCAAAGAAAATATGTCTTCTGATAGGAATCGAACCTGTATCCTACACAGAACCATCATATAGTCTGACGTGCTATACTCTTTAACTATAGTGGAAGTGTCTGGGTAGTAATATTAAATTCCTGTTTTTAAACTACAAAGTTCCCATGATTTCCCTCAAAAATATATTAAAATTAATATTATATATTAAAATAATTGTCAAATTTAATCCATTTCATTATATATATATATATATATATATATATATATATATATATATTATGGACTTGTATTCAAGGATACCTGTTTACTAGTGCAGCTAGCCAATCTCTATTGCAGATGCTTTCTCAGGCGCATTTATGTTTGTTCAACACCCACAGAGCCCACCTGTGGCCTATACTGCAACTATGCTGAGCAGACCTTAGTCAAAGTTTCTGGGAAAAAGCGTGTTATCTAGTGTGATCAACAGTTTGAACAAAGCCAGTACACTCAAGCCCCCGGCCACAATGACTTGTGACTTTGTGTTAGCACAGCTATCAACAGTGCCCAAGGATTCTGTCTACCCAATTTTATTCACAAGGCTTGGGTCAACCCATGGTATGGTTTTCAGTCACTTTCCAAAGGTACCACATGCTGGGATCGACCACTCCAGTCCAATAACATCAGGAAGTCTCCTTCCTGACAAATTGAATATGGTGAGATTCGAACCCAGGTCACATTGTCAAAATGCAAACATTCTAACCATTTGACCATGTGCCCAGGTGTGTAGGATTATTATAAATATAAAATTTGTCTCTTAGCTGATTGATGGTATATTCAGCAACCCAACTCCAGATTTTAGTAGACAAACTTTTTTGTAATAATTCAGTCCACTTGTCAGGAGGTATCAGATATATATTTAACTTTAAATGAACCAGATCATTGGCTCCAAAGTGCTCCAATCAAGCTGCTGTTAATCAAAATCTCTATGAGTAAGGTGGAAGGGATGGTGAATGCCACTAAATCAGTTTGCATTTGATTATCGGATACAAACTTGTAATAGGAAAACATTTATTGCCAGGAAATTAAACATTTCCAAAAGTAACCTTACATTTTTGGATTTGGGGCAGAATGAAAACCTGACCAACTTTGCCTTGAGACACGAGTCTGACCAACATTTACCTGCAGACAATATGGACAGGATTAAAAGCAGAAAAAGGTTAAATTAAATATTTGTTCAACTTGAAATTTAAAATTCTAAAAATGCCTGTTTTCCAGAATTTCATCACCAAAAGTTAAAGGTGCGTATTATACGCAAATAATTATGGTAAGCTTATCTTCCACGAGCCAATATTAATAGAACATTTAGTGCAAACTGAACTTAGTTTAGGAATGGATTAATCTGGGAAATCCTACCTCGTCATATGGATCAGTTATAACAAATTTAGTATAGGAGAAAAGGAAACTGAACATAGGATAGGTTGTGCTAGACGTAGTTTCACCGACATAACTTACCTACTTTCATTTATTAGACATTAAATTACGTCCCTTAGAATTTTCCATAATTTACCTTGACTTTTCTGTTAAACATGCATATTTATGAGTGTCTCTTAAATTTAACAATTTTGGAAAACTAACAAAATTTTTTACTCTTGTTTATAAATACTTGATGAAAAATAAAATCCTCACATTTGCCCTGATAAAGTCCGTCGGAGGACGAAATGCATCGGATGAGATAAGTTTTACTTTTGTTTTTGATTTGATTTGTTTAATGGCATATCAACACCACATGGATTATTTAATGTCAAAATTTAATTTTCTTGGGAGTTTTGAAGTAATAAAAATATGATATACGTTATTCTGCCTTGACAATTGTATACATGGTAGATGATGCTCAGCTTTTGTGCATGTTTGTGCAGACATAATTACAAGAGGTGGTGAAATATGCATGTTTTATATTGTAGTTCTTTTTTTTAAGTTATACAGTTAAATTTTTAAGAAATTGTAGGATACTATATATGAAAGAGTTCTTTCATGTTAGTTGTTTAGTTGCTTGATTTTGTTTGATGACATTAGGGGTTACTTAATGCCAAAATCTAAATTTCAGAGTAAAGCTATGTTTTTTAGCTATACATTTTGTAGATCATAAAATTTATTGTTGACAATTTTACTATAAAATTTTTTTTGTGTCTTTTTAATGTTGTATTGATTGTCATTTTGCTATAAAAAATATATTTTGGGTCACTTTATTCTAAAAAAGGTACTGTTTATTTTTGTTTGGGGTTCAATACTTTCCTATAGTTGGGACCCTAACTGGGTCAGGGTGAACCTGGGAACAACAGAAATTAAGAAATAGTTCCATGCTTCCCAAAACCTTCAATCTCCCAATCCGAGACCTTGCTTCCAGAAAAGTGGACTTGGGATCAACAGCAATTAAGAGGGGGTTTCATGTTCCTCAAAACCTCCAATCTTGCAATCAGAAGCCTTACTGCCAGATGTAGTTTATTGTCATACCCAGGACATTTTCTTTTGTCTTTATTCATACTGTCCTTTTACAGATATATATCTGAAATTTTATATATTGCATACAACTGGGATTAAGATATCATTAGTGAATGATCATTGTCACCCACAAATTTTAAATTTAAAGTTCACAGGATTTTTCAAACTGTTGATGGTGTCAGTTTGTTGAAGACGAATGGCTAGCTGGGGAAAGAAAGAGAGAACAAAATACAGAGTGAATCAGTTTTAATATTTAATATTTAAATTTTATATTGTGTTAATAAGACTTGATTATACCAATGGATTATTATATATATATATATATATATATATATATATTATGAAATGGACAAAGTCTGACAATTATTTTAATATATTTTATTGTATTATATTATTTATATAGACCCAAATATTTAAGTAAATGCTCTGTTTATAATAAACAGTATTAACAACATTTATCAGCCTGAACGTCTGAGAAATTTTTATAGAAAATGTGTCCTCTGACAGGAATCAGACCTGTATCCTACAGAGGACTGTCACATAGCCTGATGTGCTATACTGGTTTAGCTACAGAGGAGCGTCTGGTTAGCAAGGTCGATTTTACTGCTTTTAAACTACAATTTTTCAGGATTTCCCTCGAACGTTCATATCTGCTCAAAGTGTATCTAAACATAAACAAATGATGTCACACACTGTGAAATGGACAAAGTCTGACAATATTTTTAATACATTTTATTGTTATACATCATAGTTGTTATATGGTTATTTATACGTCAGAGTGGTTATATGGCTATTTTTATTGTTATCATAAGAGTAGTTATATGGACATTATATGATGATGGCTCATATGAGCCAAAAGTTTAGATTGAGGAACAGCATAATAAAAAAAAAATATCCAAATGTTGCAGTTTTTGTCTTTATTTTCTCCTGAAACTAAAGCCACTATACAAAGTTATACGAACATAATAGACATTTGTCCATTATATTTAACAATATATGTTAAAATAATGATCTATATATATTAATACACTATATATATATATATATATATATATAGAGAGAGAGAGATAAATAAACACACACCCATTTATTTTGTTATGGACTAATATGCACAAAACAAATCGCTAAGTTTGAGCAGAGCTGGTTCATTGCGTTTACATTGAGTATGAAACGATTTCAGTCTGCATTATTGATATTAATTGATCACTGTTTGTGGCAACGAGTCAAGCATTCAATGATGCTTCAATGTGACATTTCCGATGCAATGAAGCAAGCATCAACATTGTCAAGAGGTTAAACAACTAGTGCTTTGTTTTTACACCACAGGCTTGGGTCAATTACAGAAGATGATTAGAATGTCAACCAGTACCTTCACAAATTGCCAAGCCGATGCTTTCAGATAGCAGCAAGCATGGTTTCCAAAGACACACATGTAGACACAAGAATATTGGGCTCAACAAGAAATTGCAACAATGTTGATAGCTAATAAATTATCTAATTATTAATGCTGCTTTTTCTATGTTTTTTGTCATTTTCATGTTGGGATGTTCTTTTTCCTCACAATCATGCATTCTATCTTATATAGTCTTTTTTTCTCTCTCTTTTCTTCACTAGCTTCTGTAGGAGTTCTTGTAGTTTCCTTTCTATGTCTGCTATCAACACTGTGTCATCTGTATATCTTATGTTGTTAAGATTGTACGTTTTAACATACCTAACATAGTTTGGTCCTTTCTTCTTGCTTTCCTTCACTACTTACTGTAGTTCTTGTTGTTTCCTTTCTATGTCTGCTATCAACACTGTGTCATCTGTATATCTTATGTTGTTAAGATTGTATGTTTTAACATACCTAACATAGTCTAGTCCTTTCTTCCTGCCTTCCTTCACTACTTACTGTAGGA